AGCAGGATGAGGATGAGGAGTAAACAGCTATGCCAAGAGCAGCATGGTCATTAGTCATGGCACAGAGGGTAAAATGGAAGATTGTGAATCAACAGTTATAAAGTTAATTTATGAAACATGAATACAGACTGAAGTTCTGCTTTACAGTGTTATTCCTATAGTCAATTATATGGCATATACATATTTGAATTCATTAGAAGTTCTGATTTTTTAAAAGCGTTTTTTGAGCAATAACTGTTACATAAATAACCAAGCACATGAAAGTCCAGCATTGACTGACAGGCAAGAGGTACCCACTTGGCCCTAGTTATAGAGATAACCAACCCTCTTTAGTTGGTTTTGAGGTCCACTCCCCAAGAGGTAAATCATGCCTGGTAATGTAAATTAATTATAGAACTCATGCTTGAGAGGATCTTAGGCCTAGGGAAAAGTTACTGTTGTTAAGCTAAATGATCATGCTGTCAACCTGCCTTATAAACATTTATTCTTATACAACAGACATGTGTGAATCTCACCTTTAATTAGAGAAAATCCTGTTTACAATGAGTGGCAGTGAAAGAAGAGAAAAATGGTTGCTGAAGGTGCATTTCTATCACCTCTTCTAAGTAATAAGAATGAGCCAGAAACATGTAGTAGCACTGTAAAATACTGTTATATCGGCAGACAACAGCCAATGAAACCATGACCTTGTGGCAGCTTTTAATGCCTACATTGGGTCTATACAAAGCTGGGCTTATCATCTACCATACATATCTACTCATTGAACTATTGACTATTGATGGATTGCAGTAGAGAGGGTGTCACTCCCTTCAATTGAATGCCCACTGAAGAGCTCACTAGATTTCAATGACTACTTCTAAATCTATGACCACATAGGCCATACTCTGGTTAAGCTCAGTTGGACACAAAGCAAAAGAAAAAAAAGAGAGAAATGAAATGTCTCCCTGAATGTTGAGAAGTTGAGCTGATACCTAACCAGAGCCTCCGTACCTACTGATTAGTGTTCATGGTACTGGAAGTTAATCTGCATGCTACCAGAGGAGAAAGGTAAACACCAATCCAGCTACAAAACCTATGCTCTACAATGGTGATCTGTCTGCATGATATACTGCTCTAATAGTGGCACAAAATTTATGGAAGTAACCAACCACTCTTTGAATGCATTTAAGGCACACTCCATGAGATGGAACCCATACCTGATATTGCTCAGGTGACCAAGTGTCTGAGATTACATGGGTCATGGACCTGGTGAAAACCAAATACTATTGTTCTGCCAAAGGACTTCATCAATAAAATAACATTCTGATATTCTCCAAATGAGATTCTGGCTGTACCATAGATCAGAGTCTTGCTTAGCCATCTCCAGAAAAGCTCATTCCCTGCAGTATTGGGAACTAATACAGAGATCCACAACTGGACAATGTGCAGAGAGTTAAAGACCTTGGAATATTCACTCCAAAGTGGGATGTCTTTATCAATTTCTCCCTGCCTCGGGGAGCAGAGAACTATGTGGAGGATGAGGCAGGAAAATTGTGGGAGTCAGAGCAGACAGAGAACACCAAGGGAACAGGATTTTCCAGACACAATAGGATTAACTCAAGTATGTATTCATAGAGACTATGCCAGTGTGCACTGGGAGGGCTTGCGTAGGCTCATGTCAGACAGGGTCCCAGGGATGAAAGGGAGAAGTGGACAAGACCTCCAATTCCTAATGAAAAAGTTATCTCCAATTGATAACCGCTTGCAAAGGAAAATCAGTTTTTTTCAACGGTGTCTCTTTGGGTATAAAAACCACATTAATGAGTATGCTCCATGCCCCATGATTAACATAAAGCCAACTCAGTAGTGCATTGTGGATTTTTTGTTTCATGTTGCTTTGTTTGGGCATTTTTTTTTATCTTACTGGTCTTTTGCTTGTATGCCATTGCTTCCAATTTGTGTGTGTGTGTGTGTGTGTGTGTGTGTGTGTGTGTGTGTGTGTGTTAAAAAGGGAAGAACTAGAAGGGAGACTTCTAGCATGTCTGGATAATACTGCCAATTTTTGTTGTTATGGGTTTTGTTTTGTTTTGTTTTGTTTTTGAGATGTGTTTGTGTCTGTCTGTCTGTGTGATAGTGTCTATCTGTATATGTATTTCTTGTACTTTTCTTACCCCTTTTTAAGATGCTGGTTTATTTGCTTGCTTTTTTATATATTTATTTTCTAAAAAGAGAGAGAAAGAAGGGATGGAGTTTGATGAATGGGGAGGATCGGGGAGATGGGAAACCAGAGTCAGAATATATTGTATGAATTTTCAACCTAAAATGGCAGACAGGAATCAAAACCAGACTTGTAGAGAGGAGGGAAAATAGGCTGGAAGGCATACTTAGAGAAAAATATTTGGCAATGTTTAAGAATATGTCCTGGAATGATAAATCAAAAGGTAATACATCTTGGAAATAATCAATAATCTCTTTACAATGTGAGATCATGCATCTCATAAAGACAGTTTTCACCAATAGCAAGCAGAAAACAATGATGATGAGATCTCATAAGACTGCTGTGGAACTGAGAAACCTTATTGCCTTGAGAAGCCATAGCACTATGATTTCATAGCTCCATGTTCCATGTGTTCACATGGTATAATTCTGGTGTAAAGAGCCTGCTGCACTAGGAGTCATGTATCAGAACTGCACATTCAAATACATACAGTGCATGATTGTTGATATTGACAGTGAATAAATAAGCTACTGATTTTTGAGTTTATAATAAATTACACCCAATCATGCTTTCAGTGTTTCATAATGTACTCCTCCTATTTATATAAAAAAGGGAAACTAGTGTAGGACAACAAGTCATTCTATTCCAGCACTGACTTCATTTCCCTTGTGTTACTATGTCTCTTGATTGAATCAAGAGCTGTAGTAAGGTGGTTGATGGAATGTATACCATCTGAGGCTGTGCAAGAAGTAGCTGACAGGTTTCTTGTAAAATGTCCATGGTTAAGAAACCCAGAGTGGGTTCCAAAAAGCCAGTTCATGCACCAAGGAATAAATAGTGATCCCACCTCCATGGTCCCCACTGACATACTTTGGTGATTCCCCATGGGAGACCTCACCCTCACTGAGGGGTGGATGAGGGGAGAATGGGGGATGGTGGGAGGAATAGGAGGATGGGAAGGTGAGGGAACTGGGATTGGTATATAATTTTATTTTATTTGTATTTTGGGGGTTTTATAAATTTTATTTAAATTAGAAACAATCTTATTTTACATATCAATCCCAGTTCCCTCTCCCTCCCATCCTTCCATGCCCCCCACAGGACCTCTCATCTCATCCCCCCCATCTACTCCCCAGGGAGGGTCAGGCCTTCCATGAGGGATCATCAAAGTCTGTCAAGTGACTTGGGGCAGGGCCTAGGCCCTCCCCTGCGTATCTAGGCTAAGAGAGTAACCCTACATGGGGAATGGGCTCCCAAAACCCATTTGTGCACAAGAGATAAATACTGGTTCCACTGCCAGAGGCCCATAGACTGTCCAGGCCTCCTAGCTGACACCCATGTGTTTGGTTCTATGTTGGTTCCCCAGCTGTCAGATTGGGGTCTTTGAACTCCCACTTGCTCAGGTCAGCTGTTTCTGTGGGTTTCCCAAGCATGGTCTTGACCCCTTTGCTCATCACTCCTCCCTTTTAAATTTAATATAAAAATAAAATAAAATATAAAAAAGAGAGAGAAATTCAGAGCAGATCTCTGTGAGTTCCAGGCCAGTCTGGTGTACAGAGTCAGTTCCAGGAAAGCCAAGGCTGTTATGCTAAGCAACCTTGTCTCAAAAAAGCAAAACAAAGAGAGATAGAGAAGGAACCAGAGCATTTTTCTACTGTTCTTTCCTATTCAAACAGTTTCACTGTCAAATATATTGGCAAAGAAGGAATTACAAAATAACATGTTTCTCCATAAAAGTCTTGATTATTAAATTTACCAAGTATTTTATAAGAATCAACTTTTCTTTTTACAATGAGCAACATAAATAAAAACAGTACAAATGAACACATAAATAAAATTAATTGATGTCTTAGGAACTGTAAAAATCTACATACTTCGTGTATTCCTTTCTTACATAATTATCCTACATAGAGCCAGCATCCTAGATGTGCTCTTTGAATCACTGGCTTTGAAGCAAACCTTCACATCTGCTCTATAGTCAACTTCAAGTCCTAGGCTTTAACTCCACCAGAGCAGAGAATGAGTTATGCCAGCCTTGCTAGCATCTGACTTTGCTTTGCTACACAGATACTGCAGACAACAGAGATGAGTTACAGTGTGGAGGGGGAAAAACACAGGATAAGATTGCTACACAGATGCTGCAGACACAGAGAGCAGTTACAGTGTGGAGGGGAACAACACAGGAAATGATTCCTACACAGACGCATTCTCTTTTACAACCAGTTTGATATATGAAAAAAAAAATCCCACTGCTTATAAAGCAGAATCTGTGTTCACATTGAGCTTTCTATACATTTTAATATGCATATGTGAGCTTCATATTCACTTTGATCTATTATAACTTAAAACAGTGCAGGGCATAATTATAAACTTATCATAATTTTATAGATGCAAGAACATACAATTTAGGAGAAAAATATTTGTTAGCAGAAATGTGTATCCTGTCTCCAGGTATAGTGTATAGACCAAAGCCAATTATATAATATAATGTTTGGAATTTTCCTGTTAGTCAGATGTAGCTTTTATTAAGCAAGGATGCTTTTATTAAGCAAGCTTGTTAAGAAGCTGAACAGCATTTTATACCATTTTTAGATAGTACAGTTGCAGCATTTGACCTTGAAAAACAAATCCCCCACTTTTGACTGACTTGAATTATTTCTCTGGATAGACCATGCAGGGGGAAAAAGAGCCATTGCCCTAAATTTTAAACAAAACTTGCATCCTTCCATCAAAACAGAAGCAGAAATTCAATTCTTCATTGAGAACTTTCAGTCCATCCTTTCCTCACACAGTTGTAACTTGATAGCTGACTCCTAGAATGGGGCGGGTCTTCCTGGAAGTTTAACTGTAGCTGCCTTCACTTTCTTTTACAGCTGCTATAAGCAGAGGGGACATGAGGAAGTAGATGAAAACTCTGCTCTCTGGGGAGAATCCTAGCTGCTGCATCTAAAGGGTAAGAGCCTCTTATGCTAGCCAACACCATAAAGAATTGTAAGTGTGTTTTAGCAGGAATCTGGGGTTGGTAGCGGTGGAAACTCCTCTTGCTATGTAATGCCTGAAGATTTTTCTACTTGACAACACATAAATGTTCTTAATTTTAAGTCCATGTTCTCTCTCTCTCTCTCTCTCTCTCTCTCTCTCTCTCTCTCTCTCTCTCTCTCTCTCTCTCTTTCTCTCTCTCTCTTTCTGTCTCTCTCTCTCTCTCTTCTTTCCACTCTTCTGCTATCCCATAAAATAGATTTTCCTTGTTGTTTTGTTTTGTTTCTTCTTCTCTGTTTTAGGTAAATTTGTCCTAAACAAATGGAGCTTTCATTCTCCACACACCCTGATTCATTGCAGCCCAGAAATCCTTCTCTATAGACATCTTAGAGATTGAAACTGGGCCTTTGGTAAACATCTGGCACTGAAGATTTTAGAGAGTCTACAGATTAAGTAACTATTTTTCATTGCGCACTGCAATCACTTTGCATAGCTTGGAGCACAGGTTCTCTCTCTCCCTGAAGCAGTAACCATCAGTATATGGCCTGCTGACTCACCCTGCTTCCTGCCTGCTATTGAGCTGACTGTCACGTATCTGCAAGACTACCACACAGGCAGCTCCCTAACCTGGGGAAAAGTGTTGTTATCTCATAGCATCCAATTCAAGGCTGTAACTTTGGTCACCTCAGGAGCCAGTTCCTACCTCAAGGTGGCACAGAAGGGTCAGGAGAAGTGAAACATTCATTGAGGTAAATTTTTCTGAGGTTGGAATCAGGAAATCTTGTTTCTTTGTAGGAGAGCCTTGTCCTGTTGGCTTCCTCTCTCAGCCTCCTGCAGTGGCCACAGCCAGCCTGCAATCTCTGCTGCCAGATACACTCCATCCTTTAGCTGAGTTGTTCCTGGGTGAGTCTCCTTTTCTAAGTCTCCTGTTACAGTCAGTAGAAATTCTTCTCCTCCTGCTCCAGGCTCCTATACCCAACCCCCAGAGAAAGTCCTTCCCAGTGCTTGGTGTAGTCCTCCTCCTTGCTTAGCTGCTACCTCCATGCTGCTGCCCAGATGAGACCCATTCTAATGCTGTCAGACTTTTCCTATAGCTCAAAACAGCAGGTGTAGAAAATAGCCTATTTTTGGTAGATTTGTGTGACTGAACTGTATAGGACATCTATAGGAAATGCCAGAGGGATATCTGATACCAGTGGTATCAGAGGGATGGTTCCCAGAGAGAGATATCAGAGGGAGGTATCCCCAGACTTCAGCCTTCAGCCTAGCCTAAGGCTTAGATATGGAACTCAGGATTTTGTACAAGCTGGCAAGTTCTTTTGCACTGAGCTATAACCCAGTCTGGGAGTGTTATATGGTCACTAGGATCAGCTTAAAGGACCTAGCAACAGCCCTCCAAAGCCTTCAGCAACCATGATGCTCAAGGAACAAAAGATGTTCTTTCAAGAGGCTTTTCTCACCTGCAGATCCGAAAGAGAAGGAAGGAAGTGTTTCTAGGGGACTCATTCTTGGGAAACTGAACAAGTGTGATGTATTCTCCCAGTTGAGCCCTTTTAGGTCCTCAGGATGGATTTCCTAAGGAAACCACCCTTGATGGTGTTGGGTACTATGGTCACATAGATGACAAAAGAGAAAAGTAAGCTAGCACAGGGTCGGATTTAGAAAGGCCTGGGACAGCTTCCAGGTTATCAGGGCCATTCATTGGGATTAGCCCAATCTCTTAACTCTGTGGATAAAATAATCATGTAAACCATAGCCTGGGAAATTAATCTATCTCTTTGTCATCATATTTCGTGAAAGATTTGTACTAATTTAGGATTCATGAAATATATTATCACCTGTATTAAAAGAAGTACTGCATGCATAATCTCTATCTAGCTGAGAACACTTTTTAAAAATATGTAATAGCTTTAATTTATCCTTTGAAAATTTTATAGATGTGTGTAATATGTTTTGGTTAACCTAATTCTCACCTTCCAGCTCCCACTCACCTCTGAACCAGGTCCCTCTTCTAGCAACATATCTCTATATTTTATTTTCTTTTTCTTAACCTATTGATTCCAATTAGTGCTGTTTACTTATATGTGCATAGGTTCAGGGTCATCTTTTGGATATATACCAATGGGCAATATACCAGGGACCAAGTCCTGAAGAAAAATGACTCTCCCACACTAAGTAGCTATGAACTGCAAAACTCTTCAGGTAGGGATTAGACTGTATATGCCCCTCCCCAATCTATGCTGAAACATAGACTGGTTTGATGGTGCATGTCTTGTGCAGGTAATAACACCTGCTTTGATATCATAACTACAATGGCCCTGTCATGGACAGAAGACTCTGACTTAGGGTAGTTCTCCATAACCTATGAATCTTAGAGACTTTCAGTCACGTCTCTCTGATCTCTAAGTATTTGTAGCAATGTGATAGGTATTGGGGGGCAGACAAGATGATATAGGTGATCTTTTAGAGTTAAGCAAATCACAGTCAATTATTTACTCTCTGCATTGCCATGTGATCTTCAAGAGAGAAGCACATAGCTTCTGGCATTGATTGTGTAACCCTATCATGAACCCCTTAATGATGTGTCATTTCCACAGAAACGTGCAGTCACCATGGAACATTGCTGTGGTCTAATCACTGGTGACAAGGTGCCAGGTAAGCCTGATTTACTACTCTTAGTGATGAGATATTTGTACCTAACACAACCCCTCCTCTACGATGCCACTTCTGCTAACAATTGTTGATCTTCTAAACACTAATATCTTCCCCAGTGCCACTGAAGAACATATCAGTAGCCTTGTCCATTGAGGAATTTGTGGCTGATGTGTCTGTGGCCTTAAATTATGAGAATGAGGAAGAAGTCCCAGTAGAGGCAAGCTTTGTGTTCCCCATGGATGAAGACTCTGCTGTCTACAGCTTTGAAGCCTTGGTGGATGACAAGAAAATTGTGGCAGAATTGCAAGAGAAGACACAGGTCTGGATGAAGAGTGCATTATCTCTTCTCTTCTTACTTTAAATTCCATTCTACTTTTAACTTTATAAAGAATTCATGAGTGCTAATGATGACTGTTCCTTCTTTCACTGACTTCTTCTCACCATTTTCCTAAAACCAATAAGGCAGAAGGAATCAAGTAGAAGCTACCAGAATAATTCTAAAGTCCATAGGATATATGACACACCCTCTAAACAGTCCTTATTTTCTTGACTTCATGTGGTTTCATTTCAATCCTCCCTGCCCTTGCTCTAGGCCCATAGCAGCTATAAGAATGCCATCTCCCAGGGCCACCAAGCTTACTTATTGGAAGAGGATGACTACTCCAGGGATGTGTTTTCTTGCAATATTGGGAACCTCCTGCCTGGGGCTAAGGTGGGAGTTACGCTGAGGTATGTACAGGAACTGCCTCTGGAAACAGATGGTGCTCTGCGCTATGTACTCCCAGCAATCTTGAATCCAAGATACCAACTCTCTGGTAAGTAATTTCTGTGTCTGAAAACCAGTGGTAGAATGGCTTGGGAGATACACCAAATTATGTTTGTGTTGGAAATTGTTGCCATGGAAAACAGAAATAATGTACTTTTTTTTTATAGAACAGTCAGAAAACAGTTGTTTGAACATACAGACTCCCATGGTACCTTCCGGGGACCTACCCTACACACTCAGCATGGTTGCCACCATCACTTCCCAGCATGGCATTGAGAGGGTCCAATCCAACTGCTCCTTGAGTCCTATTCAGTACCTTGCTGATGACAAGACTTCTGCTCAGGTGAATAGTAAGACAACACTACTGTCAGTCCTTTCTCTCTTCATTGGTCATCATTCATTCTTCCTACATCCCCCTTACCTTTTCTGTCCATCCTTGAAGAGGCACACTACCTACCATCTCTACTCCGGGTAAACTGTAAACCCTTTTATTTCATAAAGTCTTTTCTGCACTTCTGATTGTGTCTTGATGGAAGAAACCTGAGACCCTGAGCTCTGACCTTATCTCAGGAGCAATCAGTGGCAGTTCTAACATGGCTACTCTGCTGGTCTCCTCCTCAGATTTCCTTGGCTGAAGGACACAAGTTTGATCGGGATCTGGAACTCCTGATTTACTACAGTGAAGTGCACAGCCCCAGTGTAGCTGTGGAGATGGGGATGCAGGGCATGAAGCCAGGTATTTCCTGTCTCCCACTATGGTCCCTTTCTAAGATGTAACTCTCCATCAGTCCTGATTTTCAATTCTCTATCCAGGATCAGTGTATGACCTTTGAAATACTGACTTTTTACTTCCACATGGAAAAATGACAAGGCTTAATAGGTAATTAGTGATTATGTCCTATAGGCTAATTTACATAGATTGGTAGATGTAATTAGAGGGAAAATATGACCAAATAATTCATAAGAAATTATGCGGCCTGTTATGTCACAATGACTGGTCTTACAAAAACAGCAAATGAAAGTAATCCAGTGACTACTTCTCCTTCCACAGGATCAGTGATTTCCAAATCTGATAGAGTCTCATCCTTTACATGGTGTGGTGACCTATACTGTCAGATAGTGTTGAAACAAACCAGTTTGTTTCAACTGTTTTGAAAGTATTTGTGCTACAAATAGTAAATATTCATTTTGATAATTCTAATATTTATAACATTTCTTCTGAAATAAATCCAAATGTCAATGGAATATGCACATGATAGTGACTGATATAATGCTATCCAATATTAGTAAATGATAAAAAATGTAATGCAGTCATTACTTGTGTCATTAGTTACATGATAAATTATGATGTCATTATTTAATAATGTACATTAACAAATTATTTCCCAAATAATGGGAAAGAAAAAATAGTTATAATTCTTAATAGTACTATAAAATAATGGTTGGATTAGGAAAACAACTGTATTATAATCTAGGTAATATGCAAATAGTCATTTTCTACATGAATAATAATTCATGTATTATAATCTAGGCAATATGCAAATAGTCATTTTCTACACGAGTAATAATTCTATTTTAAGTAAATATGTTTTATTGGTTAATTCATCACAAGTAGATGTAATCTTGCAGTCAGTTCTTACTTTTTTGTCTTATGACTAATAGTGGCCAAGTTTAACACAGAATTAGTTTTAGATTTCCTGTGTCATATAGAAATTGATTTTGAAACAAGTACTAGAATCCAGTCTTTGTTTGTAGCCCACTTGATTTTTTCTTAGAAGAAACTTAGCTTTCCATTGAGTTGTGTTTTTTATCTATATCTAGTGATTGTCATTTAAAACATTTCCTTATATGTATACTAAACTTTTTTCCCCAAGAGTATTTTTTATTAGTTCAAATTAGAAACAAGGCTGCTTCACATGTCAATCCCTTTTCCCTCTCTCTCCCCTCTCCCCCAACCCCCCCACCAGACTCCCACCTCATGCCCCTCTGCTCCCCAGGGAGGGTAAGTCCCTCCATGGGGGTTCCCCAAAGTCTTTCATATCCTGGGGAGGGCCTAGGCCCTCCCCAATGTATAAGCTGAGAGAGCATCCCTTCATGTGTGATGGGCTCCCAATGTCCCTTTTTATGCCAGGGACAAATCCTGATCCACTACCAGGGGTCCCATAGAGTGCAAGGACTCCTCATTGACATCCACATTCAGGGGTCAGCATCAGTTCCATGCTGGCCTTCCAGACATAAGTCTGGGGTCCATGCGCTCCCCATTGTTCAAGTCAGCTGTTTCTGTGGGTTTCACCAACCTGGTCCTGACCTGTTTCTCTTCAATCCTCCCTCTCTGCAACTGGGTTCCAGAGTTAAGTTCAGTGTTTACATGTGGGTGTCTGCCTCTGCTTCCATCAGCCACTGGATGAGGACTTTAGGATATAAGGCAGTCATCTGTATCATTATAGGGGAAGGGCATTTAGGGTATCCTGCCAACCATTTCCTAGATTGTCAGTTGGTATCATCCTTGTAGATCTCTGAAAATCTCCCTAGTGCCACATCTACCCTTGAACCTATAATGGCTCCCTCTGTTATGGTATCTCTCATCTTGCTCTCCTTTATTCTTCCCCCAACTCAACCTTCCTGCTCCTCAATTTCCTCCTCTCCACTCCTCTTCTCCCCCTGTCATTCTCCCAAATTACTTTCCCCTACCCCTATGCTCCCAATTAGCTCAGGAGATACTGTCCCTTCCCCTTCTTCGGGGTCCATGAATTCTACTCTTAGTGTCTTTCTTGTTTCCTAGTTCCTTTGGTGATGAGGATTGTAGGCCAGTAATCCTTTGCTTTGTGTCTAAAGTTCATATATGAGTGAGTACATACCATGTTTGTCTTTTTGTGACTAGGTTACCTTACTCAGGGTGGTTTCTTTTGGTTACATTCATTTGCTTGGGAATTTCAGATTCTATTGCTTTTTTCAGCTGAGTAGTAATCCATTGTGTAAATTTACCACATTTTCTCTAACCATCCTTCAGTTGAGGGGCATCTAGGATGCTTCCAGGTTCTGGTTATTACAAACAACACTGCTATGAACATAGTTGAACATATGTCCTTGTTTTAGGAATGTGCATTCTTTGGGTATATGCCCAAGAGAGGAATTGCTGAATCTTGAGGTAGACTGATTCCCATTTTCCTGAGAAACTGCCATACTGATTTCCAAAGTGGTCTAACAAGTTTGTACTCCCACCAGAAATGAAGGAGTGTTCCTTTTTCTCCACATCCTCTCCAGCATAGAGTGTCATTCTTGATTTTGATTTTAGCCATTCTGGCTGGTGGAAGATGGTATCTCAGAGTTGTTTTGATTTGCATTTCCCTGATGGCTAAGGATTTTGAACACTTTCTTAAGTGTCTTTCAGCCATTTTAGATTTCTCTGTTGAGAATCCTCTATTTAGTTCTGCATCCCATTTTTTAATTTCATTGTTTGGTGTTTTGGTGGCTAGCTTCTTGAGTTCATTGTATATTTTAGATTTTAGCCCTCTGTCAGATGTTGCCTTGGTGGATATCTTTTCCCATTCTGTGGGATGTCATTTTGTCTTACTGACTGTGTCCTTTGCCTTACAGAAGCTTCTCAGTTTCAGGAGGTCCCATTTATTAATTGTAGATGTCAACGTTTGTGTTACTGGTATTATGTTCAGGAAGCATTCTCCTGTACCAATTCATTCAAGGGTATCTCCAACTTTCTCTTCTAGGAGGTTCAGTGTGGCTGGATTTATTTTGAGGTCTTTGATCCATTTAGACTTAAAAATTTTGTGCATGGTGATAGATATGGATCTATCTGCAATTGTCAGCATGTCTGAATCCAGTTGTGCCAGCACCATTTGTTGAAGATGCTTTCTTTTTTCCATTGTATAAATTTGGCTTCTTTGTGAAAAATCAGGTGTTCATAGGTGTGTGGGTTAACATCAGGGTTTTCAGTTCGATTCCATGATACTTAACTTTTTTAAAGCTGACACAGTGCACATGTATGTTTTGGTTTCTTTGACTTTTCTGGCCCATTATGCACTTGGTTGCAGGGATCATCACCCAAACCAAGAAGGGCATTACAAATATTCATTTCTAGGTTGGATACATGGAAGAACTTGTGGGCCAATTGTATTCATAGAGTGACATCTGGGCTTGGGCTTTGCTGCTGGAAATGTAATCACTGTGAGGACTTTACCATGAAACTGTGTTTCCATACCTACCCCCCACCCACTAATATAATATTATCAATACTTACAAAGGTGACTTCATACTGAACCACATGTAGGGAGTTTTTCTTCTCCCCTTACTGTCTAGCCTCTCCCCTCTGAGGTCTCTAAGGGGAAACCAGCTTTCCTTGGTTTCTGGTAACTCCCTCATCTCCCTGTTGCTCTATGCTTTATATTTGTTGTCAATTTCTTGAACGTCTTTTTGGATGTCATAAAATATTCAGACTTAGACTTTGTTTTCAGTCAGTAATATTTTAACACATGATATAGAATTTCATGATGCTGGATCTCAGTATGACAGAGGTTTCAGTTTCTCCCTTTCTGTGACATCTCCTTAGTCTCATGAAGATTTTCTCATCTCTTTTCTGTGATCAGATTTGCAGGCTAACAGGGGACACAGGTGGTCATATCTCAGTCTTGGTAATTCCTTCCATCTGTGCTTCATAGTTCCTGCTTCCCAGGGCACATATTTTGCCAGATGACTTACAGTTCACATATCCTTCAGAAGCACAAGGGAAGCTGAAGAGGCAGCTTGGTTCACTGAAATACTTTAATGTGACCATAATTCACAGAAATGCATGAACTAAATGATATGTTAATCTTAGAATGTATGATTACACAACATTTAAAAGAAAAATGTAAAAAAATATAATTAACAGCTCAGTGTGAATTAAGCCCTACCTTGATTTCTGTAAGCATATTGGATCACCTAACCTTACAATAACCCTATAGTGGGAGTTACTACCTTGATACGTGAAAAGGGGAAACTGAAGCTAAGAAGTAGAGGTACTCATTTATGAACAAGGAAGTTCTGATTCATGAAAGTGAAATCACTTGTATTGTTTTGAAAGAAGTAGTAGACACCATACATGGAGTGCTGACCACTACCTACAGGACCTTGTTCTAAACTGTGCATATCCATGCCCACCAATCTCATGGGCTTCTGGCTTCTTAGAAGAGTGCTAGTGTCATGATAACCATCTGTCTCCCTGGGTGAGAAGAAATCTACCTTACACATTAAAAAAAATGCTAGTCTTACATGAGCTGTATATCTAAAGTTTGGTATCTGGTTCATATTTATAATGTTTTCACTCAGTTTTCCAAGTCAATGTTCCTGAGTAGCCTAATCTTGAAATATGCCATTTTAAATGTTATGCGTTTGAGCATCATTTGCCCTGATGATCCAACTGAAGATGTAGTTAGTGACCTATGTGATCTTTTCCCCATTAACAAGATTTGGAGAGATTTTTCTGTTAGTAATCTTAGCTGTATCTTTATTTCATGCTGGAAGCTGCTAAGCTGATGTGTCTTATTCAATTGCTTAGATGCTTAGAATTTACACACACTGACACTGCTGTGTTCCAATTTAGTATGTGTGCCACTGAAGCAAGCATGACACTGCTGTATTATTGTCTTTTATCTCCTACCCTGTTTTTATTCCTCTCCCTTCTGTTCTGCTTCTTTCTCTTTTATGCCAACAACTCATATTTTACTCCTGTGCACACAGAACAAAAAGGTAAACAAGGAGTTTTGTATTTGAGTTTCTCAGTTCTCTATCAAAGTGATAATTGGTTCTTGGGATCTCTAGGACACCCAGGTTTCCTTGTACCTTATAGAGTTCTTCCTCTTTTTGTACAGATAGTTTGATGGGAGCTCCTTCTGCAATGGTGAGCTTCTATCCAGATATCCCAGAAGTGAAGTCCTCAAAGGCTTGTGGAGAATTTGTGTTCCTCATGGATCGCTCTGGAAGTATGGAATCCCCCATGAATAACCAGAAGAATTCTCAGCTACGTATAGAGGCTGCCAAGGTAAAGCCAGATTCTTCAGTGTTCAGCAGTGCAATGTGAGGATGATTGGGAAAGGCACAGATATGGACCATTGATAGTTTTAGGTCTGTTCTCCATATGAACAATAAAAAGCATGGCCTCGCTGATCTCAGCCTTGAAATACAAGGTGGCATAAGATGATGATTTTCCTTATGCTTAGGAACTAGATTGGGGTCTCCATGTTTGGTAGAGTCCTCTTTCACTCTGTCTCATGATTGTTTCACCCTCAGGAAACTCTGTTGCTGTTGCTGAAGAGTTTGCCAATGGGTTGTTACTTCAACATCTATGGATTTGGATCTACCTATGAAAAATTCTTTCCGTAAGTTTCTGGGAAGACCAAGGACTGTGAGAGAATGTAATTTAAAAGAGGGTCTCACTGGTAAAATGGTTATTGCAAAGTTGACATGACCATTAGTATTGTTGGGAAATTTTTTATGATAGGATTATTAGAGTGGCAATGTGTGCTACTGTCATGTGACTAGATGTGATTGTTTCTCCAAGGGAGAGTGTGAAGTACACTCAGGAAACAATGGACGAGGCAGTGGGAAGAGTGAAAGATCTGGAAGCAGACCTAGGGGGTACTGAAATCTTGAAACCACTCCGGAAGATTTACAAGGCACACTCCATTCCTGGCCATCCTTTGCAAGTGAGCATTCAAACCAAGTTAAGAGGGATAATGAGTGAAATTCTCTAGTAACACAATCCCTGGTTCTTCCTTATAGAAATGAGTAAACAATGTGTAAAGTTGAGTTATCTACTACTCAGTGAAGAGAAAAAAGTCCAGAGGCAGTGGTCTTCCTTTATTCTATGGGGTAGGAAGTCAACCCTCTTTTGTGGTACCACAAACATTTCAGATGAAAGCAACATGGGGAAGGTGTGAAACTTCCCAGGGGTCTGAAGAGTCTTTTTGCCACCAGGGAACAACTGGAGCACTAGGGTCCCCACCCATGTGAGAAACTAGGAACAGTTGTAGTCCAGGAGGAACAATGCTATTGTCTTTGAATGAACTCAACAGAGGCTTGATGAATGCATTCTTTCCTTTCCAGCTCTTTGTTTTCACAGATGGAGAAGTTAGTGACACATTTACAGTCATTAATGAAGTTCAGTTAAACAGCAAGAAACACAGGTATGAGGAAGTATGGTTTCTATTGTGCTGAGTGGACCCCAAGTAGCACTACATATGACGTTTCCATGATATCAGTGGTTTCCATGCTTCCATAGGGATGGAGTGACTTAAAGATTTTCCAGTTATTTAGTCGACCACTTATTTTCTGTAAATTTTAGAAGTAGTTTTCCACTTAACTTTGATACCACAAAGTCTTTGTTCCTTATTTTATTTAAGCTTTGAAGAATGTATTGATTTATCTTTTCATTATAGAGGTATTGACAATTTAAGAAAGTTACTCAAATCATTGTTATTGGCAGATAGGCTGCCACGGTATGTGCTCCGCTCATCCATTACAGATCTAGAGCTAGACAGTGTTCTCTTGCCTTCATTCCACCATTCACTAGTTTAAAACTGGCGCAGGTATTATTCTTGTAGATTATGAGAATTTCTTTTACATTGGTATCATACTGGGTTTCCAGATATGTGTCTTTTTCTGTGTCCATCACTTTTAAGCTTTATCTCACCAGTTTGTTGAGATGTAGACCTAAGATGCATGTAGCCAAGATCAAGTTGCTTTAGTGTATGTTTTTCTATTAAGTAGATCATTTTATTTTATAATGATGCTCATAATGATGCGCTTTCTTTGGGCTTTGAAGTGATTGTATTATATATTCACAAACAATCTATTGAAAGTTTATAATTAATATGGAAAGATATCTATCTATCTATCTATCTATCTATCTATCTATCTATCTATGGTAAATGCAAATCTTACAATGTATTTACAAAGGGCTTGAGTAACTTAATTGCTGGCATTTACATGAAGTCCTTGAACTCAACTATACAGAAAGCAAAGCACAGACACATGGACTTACCCAAGGGAGTGTTCTTTATGTAGATAGTGTTGTCCAATATCAGTGGAATGGCAGTTTCACAAGGCGTGCTGATTTAACTCAGATCAACTTCACAAATAGTTTCCAGTTGCTTCATTTTCTAACCAAATCAATCATTTCTTTTCTTCAACCTTTTCCAGTTTTGTGCATAGGACCTTTAGTGTCTCATGTTTTTAATTTTTATTTTCCTTGTATCTCTACTTGATATACCTTTTTGCTATTTAGTAGCCATTAGAATGGCCTTGTTTGGTAGTCCTTCAAGTCTCTTTACCACTGATATTCTTTTATCTAGCAGATTTTTATGGGTATGTATTTGATAATATGTTTTGAATATGAATATATTGATGACTGTTTTCTTACTCTGTAGCTTACATTTTCACTATCAGAATTGTTACCTTTGCTTTGTTTTTTAAGATAGGCTTCCCTATGAAGTCCTGATTGGTCTGGAACTCCTTTACTTGACCAGGCTGGCCTTTATGGATTCAGGTCTGCCTGCCTCTGCCTCTAGAGTGGTGGGATTATAGTCACATGATTTGAGTCATTGTCACTTCAATTTGTATTTTCTGAGGTTTCTTTTTTAGATTACTACTTTTGTGTGGGCCCTGTTAGAGTATTTTTCTATTCAAGCTATGCAGGTTGTTTACATTTTCTTTCAAGGGATTTGGCTCTCTATATGTATTGGTTCTATGGCAAATTTATATATGTATGTAATGCATTCTCCTTACTCCCTCCTCTCGCCTTTTCCTATCTTCTTCCCATCTCCTTCAGTCTTCCTTTCTCTGTTCTTTTCACAATTTTGTGTAATTAGTGTCATCTCAATGATTACTGGATGGGGCTACCCAGTGGATCCTAGTGTGCTTCCCAGTGAGTATACAACTGAAGGTCATGATTGCCATTTTCTCTGAATCTATCAATAGGTTGTTATTCCTGTAATAGTCATGTAACTATTGTATCTGTGAGTATATTGTGCCTGAAAGATGATATTATAGTTTGTAGGACTTGTAGCTGGTTAAGATCATTGATGCCTTTTCTCTCTAAGCAGACTTTTAGCATCTCTTGATTTCTCCATGTCGTATAATCAACACGTGGTGGCTTCAGCATTAGGGTCTTAACATCTCTTGTTGGTAGTCAACCATGAGCAATAACAAGGCACTCTGTTGTTTTCTGAATCTCCTTGACCAACACATCATAAGCAGTTATCCCATTATTAGCACTGAGTTTTTGTTTAGTAACCCATAGTATTAGTAAACTGAGTCACTTGGGATGATGGAAGAAAGAGCCACTCCAGGATGTAATCAGGCTCTGAGGCAGCAGGGAGGAACAGTCTCTGATGGACTGAACTCCTAAGCAGCTGTGCAGAAGAGTAAAACAAGTTTCTCATACTAAACTCAGATCTAATCTACATGTTTCTTGAAGGAACACCTTGTCCTTGCAATTTTAGTCTGTTTTGCGCACTGTTTGCATTACTCAATGTTACAAGACTTCCAGGCTTGCCAGGAATGTCTTGAGACTCAATTCATGCAAAGGGTGCAATGTTCCTCTAGAAAAACAACTCTATAAGTTACAATTGCCATTTTCTAAATGATTTCTTCAAGGTCTAAGTTCTTCCAGAAAACAACCGTTCACTCTGTTGTTTTCCCTAAACTGGCCAGTATGAGTATCTTAAAGGTTGAAACAAATTAAATAGCTGAATGCATCAGAAAGTAATGCAAGAATCTTGGAATACACATTGATAAAGCAGAAAGAGGGAAAGGAGGGAAAGAAAGACCATAAAATGTTTTCTCAGGTGTTTTTAGGGATACCTACCACTGACAAAGCTCAAAAATCTACAATTTTCCTACTACTCAGAAACTGCTTGGGTGGGCAGCCATTCACACATGCCACGTGCTTCAATGGTTTGTGAGCATCATATGCAGGCTCATTCCTCTTTTTTCCATTTCCAGGTCTTCACTCCTAGGTTCATGTTCTCTCTGAAGTCACTGGAGCCTATTTTCTTGGTGGTTTTCTGCTTTTACACAAATTATCAAAGTTACTATTTATAGGTCTCTAAGTCTCTCTGGCTTAAATAACCTGTTCTAGTATTTCTGTGAATAGAACTCGTGGTGTTTTGTCTTGATCATTGTATTTGAGTTCTTGAATATCAGAATCTCTTAAGAAGTCATGTATTTCACCTCTGGGTCTTCTTCATGACAAATCTTGAAACTCCACTAATCTGTTTGTTTTATCAATCAACTTAAAAATGCTAAAACCAATAGTGACTACCTTATAGGTTACTGAGAGGGAATAAAACTATAATACAAACTTTGGTCCTCATGTTTACATATGGAAAACATGAATTCTATGATCCAATGACATGAGATTTTGGGGTGATGACTCACATTACCAAAAAGTCCAAGAATACTGAATGTACAAGCGAAGATGTCAGTTTTATATTTTTATAGTTTACTAGAGGTATTTCAGAGATAAAATGCTGCTAGATAGCTGTTGCTCCTCTGCACTGTAATGGGGAAAGAATTTAAGAAATAATTTGCAAATTCCCTATATTCTAGATCTTCATCAGCAAAAATGAAACAGGACCCTTCTCCATAGACGACTCATGGCATTAAAGTATATTACTTACTTAAGCATTTATTGTCTCTGACATAGATAAAGTATGATTTGTAAGTGATAGCATTGCTAAAAAATGCAAATTCATTTATGAGTCTTTGAGCACCCCACGTGAACTGATAATTCCACTACAGAGAGCCAGTTTCTAACATTCATCATTTCATTGTTGCAGATGTTTCTCATTTGGTATTGGAGAAGGAGCCTCCACCAGTTTAATCAAAGGCATTGCTCGGGTATCTGGGGGCACTGCAGAGTTTATCACAGGCAAGGACAGGATCCAGACCAAGGTGAGAGCAGGCCATGTGACCAGAGATACAAGTACAAAGTGACTGTGAGGCACTAAAGGATCCCTGCTGCAAAGGAAACACTATCATGAGTCTCAGGTCATACACTAATGATTCTACTTCATACTTCGTTAAAATGTTTGCAATCTAATCCAGAAAGGAGATAGATAAGAGGTAAAGAGGTAGTGACTTTTGTTTTCAAAATCTGAGAAAAAGTAGTTAAACACTTTTGCTGCTCTGTTTGAGACTGCAGTCTGTACTCTCAAAAGATCTTGTAGAAATCTATTCTCCATGCAACAGAAAATACAAAAGACAAAGTGTGTGTGTGTGTGTGTGTGTGTGTGTGTGTGTGTGTGTATTAGGTTCAAAGGCATGATAAGTTCACACTCTTTTATTATACAAAATTGCAAGACATCTTAGATTGTATTTTTAAACTTCTCTTTCCCTGTTGTTACCATTTCTTTTCTACCTCACTTCTGTAGAGGTCTCTTTTCTTAAATATTTCCCTCTTTCAAATCTACACTTTTATATTTCCCAAGTGTAACTTTACACACAAGTTGAGAAGAAATTGCATTTCTCACTTAGCAACAGTAGTTAGACCTGACTTGCATTACATCCTTGGTCCTGGTAAATGCTGAATGGATGACTGTCATTATTATATTTCTTATGTTTAATTCTGTCTCTTCTCTCCTCCAATAGGCTCTTGGGTCTCTGAAGTTTGCTCTAAACTGTTCAATGGATGACTTCTCTCTGAGCTGGGATTTGCCTCCTGGTCTGTTGGTTACCATGCTTTCTCCAGAGCAGACTGTCATCTTTAGGGGTCAGAGATTAATCATGTATGCCCAACTCACTGGGACTATGCCTGTAAGTACCTATTATTGTCCGTTCCTTTACTCAGTGAGACCCTGTATCAACAGTTTTATAACAGTGATGTTTCCTTGGGATTCAGCAAGATATGTCACTTGCCAGGCAGCCAGCCTCCTATCCTCTCTTTCATGCCGTGCTGTCTGATTCTTTGTGTGACCATTCACTAAGCTGGGGGGCTTCCCCAGTGCTCAACATTTTCCTGGTTGTGAGTCTGTTTTGTCACTCCTGCTCTCCTCTTATTTGTAGGAAGTGGAGTGCTCAGGAGAAGTGTGCCTCAAGTATACCCTCCAAGGCAGGAGTCTGGAAAACAGGGTGGCATTTCCCCTACAACCCAAGACAAATGCCAGGTAAAAATTCAGCTTTTCTTCTCCACCTCCACTCTGCCCCACATCTCTCTTCCCTTCCCTTCTTCTCCTTTACATCTCTTTTTCTCTGCCATATGAATGGTTTATCATTCATATTACTGACCTCAACTATTTCCTTTAAGCTCTTCTCTTTCTCATTGCCTCATCAGAAGTCTTTTTCTCTGCATTCCCTTATGTATGTAATCACTAACTATTAAGAGTCTTGGGTACTTGATTTGCAGTTACTTTTCTTTAATTTTTGCAGTATTTTCTTTTAGCTTTGCCATTCATCGGTTGGCTGCAAAATCGTTGATTCAGACCAAGGACTTGGGTTCCCATGAGACTTCAAAAAGTGCAAAAGAGGATATATTGAACATCAGCATTCAATCTGGAGTCCTCAGCTCCTTCACAGCTTTCATTGCCATAAACAAGGAGCTCAACCAGCCAGTGCAAGGGCCATTGACTCATAGGGATATTCCAAGGCCAGTTACTTATACATCACCTTGTGCATATAAAGTTAAAACTCGTAAGTTTATCCCAATTCCAACTTATGTATAATGAGTCTCAGATATCCAAGCACTTCCTGTAAACAATGAGAAGTTTCAGAATTTTGTAAATTTAAATTCTTAATTTTCCTCTTCTTTCCACACCTGGGGTTTATGGCTTGCTTTAAACTTTGTATAGAAGTTGATTGTGTCCAACTAGTACAGAGATTCATTATAGAAATACAGAGTGACACCAGGACATATTACAATGCAGAAGCATCCATAGACACTGAATAATTAAATCACTTAATTTGAATCTGTCTTCTGTTCCTGATGGCGAGTCAATGGCCAAATAGATAACAGATGACTAGATTGCATCTGATAATGTTAGTGGTAGAAGAGTATATTTAAAGAAATGGTGGATATTTGAAAGAGTCATAGAGGATTTTGGGGAAATGAAAATAAAAACGGCATCATTTCTGTGGGATGGCTGAGGGTCCAGTTGCATTTGGTGCCTTTTTTCAGTAGTAACTGATTAGAGTCTTGGGTTTTGTGAATCATTTGCCTCATGGGTCAGGAACTTTACCTTAAGAATGAAGTGGATAGGGTGCTGAATTGATTTCTAGTGTAATACTTTTTCATCTTGATGGTTAGAAATTATGGATATAGGATTCAAGGTACTGATAAGGGTGCTAATTTGTTTGATTAAAATTTAGGTTGAATGGTAAAGAAAAGATTAAAGGATGGTGACATGCAGGATAAAATAGAAGATTTGGGAAGGCGCAAGTCAGGTCAAAGGCCATTTTTAAAAAAAAAAAAAAACATGAAACCCTAAGTTAAAACACTAGAAATACGGGGGTTGTATTTTAAATGTAAGTTATTTGTGCCAAATCAAACGATTTTTTATGATACTAATGATTTGAGGGCATGGGAGGGATGTGTTAGAGCCATAGTCACTGGATCTGAGGAAGGTAAGACCTTTGCATTAAGATGTTGCATGGTCTACTTACATGGATGGTGAAAATTCTCAAATTGTGGAAGAGCTTGGAGTCCACTGGGAGCTGTGGTGTGGCTTTTGGGTACTTTGGGAAGCAACATTGTTGATAAGATCCTGACCCATCCCAATTGATGACCTAGGGCTGGAGAGATGGCTCAGCTGTTAAAGACTAGGCTCACAACTGAAAATGATCTTTTGAATTAAGGAGTATCTGGAAGAACCATGTGTATTGAAGATGAGAGGCAGCTGTGATTACTCAGCACATGTCAGGGGTTCTAGAAGACTGACTAGAAAGTAGAAAGAGGGTTCAGAGGGTGAGTGTCTGCATTGGAGAGGGCCACACTGGAAAATGGCACAACATGGTTAGTGAGGGAAGCTGATATGAATGTGAATGTTGAGGTCTTCAATCCTCACAATTTTAAATTTTTGCTTGTTGCAGTGCATGAAGCTTGCTGAAGTATCCACTGTACATTTATGTTTTTCAGGTCACAAGCCACCCGTATGCGCAAAAGTTGGTGAGCATCCCTGGAGGGCTATGGAGAAATACTCTATAGTCTAAGGGAGTTTCCTTCTAGTAAAAGTTCTCTCAACAATGTTTGTTTATCACAGATGTTATACCTTTTGGATTCATATGTTCAAGTCCTAGTAGGAGAAATGTAGAATCCTTAAGAGAGATGAAAAAGTCACCTTCTTCCACCAAGAAACCCAACCTGAAAAATGACCACAAAGGTGAAGTGGGCCTCAGAATGTGTATCTGACTTATGGTAGCCATAAACTAACCTTCCATGCTCTTCATCTTAGACCTTTCTCTACCTATGGAGTGACTTACTTGAGGCAGCAGGCAGGATGTCAGATTTGACATCACTGTGTATTTGCTGAAACATGTCTAGCTTCACTAATCTAGAAGACAGTACTTGGTACCTTCTGACCTACTGTAATTGAGTAGTCTCTAGTTCTTTGAGTCCCCTTGGCAATCTCTGTCTACACAGTCCACCTGTCATCAGGGCTTGACCCCAACATACTCTGCTGCTGTTGTGTTCAGAACCCAGAGCAAATGGTCACCAATCATAGACTATAAATAGTCAGTGGACATCCTGCAGAACTTTCACGAAAGCCTCCTATTTCAGGAGACTGTCTCAGGTGAGCTGTGATCCCAGGGACTCCATAATTCCCAATGCCATCTCTCTTTCATTTTTTTTCCATAAAGGTTTTGGAGAGAATGTTTTTGTGCAGCTGGTTTCCCTCCAAAAGGCAAATGGCTCCTGGGAGCTGCATGAGGATTTTGCCAAGATCCTGGGCACTAATTTGGAAGACATCATGGCTGCAAACCCTGCCAAGGTGAGATGCAAAGTAGAACAAAATAAAGAGTGTACTTCATGATGCTAGGAACACAATTAGTGTAGAAATGAACCAAGACAGAGCTAATAAATGAGAATATAGGTAATGCAAAGGTGAAATTAGCTTGTAATATATAGAAGATGAATTTCTACTTCAGATGGACCCTAAAGAACATGGATTTAATGGCCTAGCTACAGGAAGGCATGAACAGAATCCTGGATATCAAAGCAAAAGTAAATGATCTTCTGTCTTAATCATATTCCCAAAGACATAGTTATCAAAATAAACATTTTAATCTTCACATTGTACCAGACAGATTTTAAACATTTACTATTAATATACTTATTTTCCTCTCATTTCAGTTAATTAGGGCAGGTTCTATTTATATAGCTATGTAGAGATAAGAAACCAAACATTAAGAAACTGAACTCTCTCAGAACCAGTAAGTGCAAAATTACATTCAGTGCAAGGATGCCCTGTCTTCAGAGACTGCAAAAACAGTTCTAATATTCATATATTTGTGTTCTCAAATAGGCTGGCTAGAGTACACCTTCTTCAGAATTTTAAGACAACATTCTGGATCTTGAAATACTATTTGAAAAACAAATATCTTCAATAAAAGACAAATGCAAAACAATGAGAACAAATGTAATTCTGAGTTATTAAAATGTGAAACAAAATTAAATGAACTTCACATATCTATAGTTATATTACTTCTACTCCATCTTCTAGTCACTCCTGGCTATTGAGCTTATGAAATATGGTTAATACAAATGAAATTTAATTTTTAATAAATAGCTTTATCTATTCTGTAAAATTGAAACTGACTTAAATATTTAGAGTAAAAATATTCCCATTGCTTGTCAAAATGATGTCTGTTTTAATATTTTAAAAAATCTGCTACTAGTTAGAAAAGCAGATCACCATGAGAACTCAACTCTGGCATACTGCAGACCATGAACTCAATTCAGTACAAATATATAGTAAAGAGAATCAATGTCACATGTTGTTATCTGAAGTTCAATTGAAATTTGAAAAATTTAAAATGATTTTTATTTTTATTATTACTATTTTACATCTTGACCACAGTTTCTCCTCTATACTTTCATCCAAATTCCTCCCCCCATCTCCCCT